GCGGTTCTGATATGGCTCTAAAGGGGCATTACACCTACACAGTTAGAGGAACAGAACAAATGTAATGTCATCCCTGATGACGTGTTAGTACAAATGACAACAACAATGTTCACTCACTTCTATAGCTGGGGCCACCTCCTAACCATGGGTTATGTCCCAAATAGCACCCTATTCCCTATATAGTGCTCTACTTTTGACCAGAGCCCTATGGGTCCTGGTCAAAATTAGTGCACTAAATAGGAAATAGGGTGCCATTTGGGATGCATGCATGATGTCCTTCACATCACCCTTACAGGTCAAGCCCCCAGCCATGCAGGCTCTGAGTCTGGCTGATTGGCTGATCTGATGACTTCAGGCTTTCTGTTCTCTTTATGTCCATATTCATACGTAATGATGCTCCCCTAAAACTATAATCAATCCCTAAGTCATAGACCCACGTTCCATAGGACGATGTTCAAGAAGATGTTCTCTTGTTAGAGAATTTCTTATGCAATGGAAAAGGAATTAGTGGCAGTGTTTTGATTTGATATCTAGATGTGCCACAGTGTAGTTTACACCCTACTGTTACACAGAATCTCCCTGTGTTGCCATACCGCAGGGTGTCCATTTATCTACCTCATAATTGCCATCATTTAAACAACACACACAGAACCTGTGAGAATCATGCAGAGAGCTGGTTATGTGCTTTGATCCTCCTGTGATTCTATGCTAAACTTGGTACCAACTTTCTCACAGCAGGGGCCACAGTGAGAGAAAAGCAACACAGAGAGACAGAGAGAGACACAGCGAGAGATAGAGGAAGAGACAAGGAGACACAAATACAGATCAGATATAAAGGAGACGAGGGAGTGAGAGGTTTATACAGAGGCTACGAGAAAGAGAATGTACAAAACACCTATCTGGCTCGAAGGACCGTAAATAGAAGAGCACCACCTAGTGGGTGGAATCTTCTTTATGGTCTTTCCAGACGGATAAGGTTTTTGTACAAAGACAAGGGACAGACAGATAGATAGAGAGCCAGAGACACAGGAAGACAGACAAGGAGACAACCAGTAGTGAGTGTCCTTATATCATCCAGAGACAGAGTCAGTCTGTTAGTCTTCCTTTTTCCTTCTCCTCTCTGAGGGTGATATATTCAAAAGGGAGTCAGGTCAGATTAAGTATAGATTTTGTAAGTCGTAAGGGGCTGGACTGTGCTATTGATCCAATTTAGGGGCAGAGAAATGGGGTGATCATTGTACAAGTAATTATTTGCACAAACTTCTATCCCCCCCTTTGCCCATCTGTCTCCTGTTTCCATCAGATCTCATTAAAAAACAATGGTTGAGCCCAGCCCATCTCTGTGTTTGCCAGTTGACTACACCATAAAAGTCAGTCTCATTGCTCCCTGTTGTGCGATAAGCTGAGTGCACAAATTGGAAACCGGACTGATTACGTCTCAATAGAGGCATGAAACCCTGACACTCATTTCACATTCACTCTCCCAATCTCCCTCTCAACCTAAAAACAACTTGTCTCTCTTCACACACAAAATGTCTGTCTTCAGTGTCTCCTTTCCTCCATCTCAGTTGTATTCCCTATCTTTATGTCCCTCATGTGAAGTAAAAAAACATGACAGAATGAGTAGCGAGAGAGGTAGAGAAAGAAAGAAAGAGTGTGTGAAAGAGGAGATGGACAGAGACAGAGCGAAAGTAAGAGAGAGAGTTAGTGTCACAATAAGGACTAATTGAACTGGACAATGCCAGAGGTTGAAAGCTCACAGACTTCCCCTCTAAACACAGCCTTTGAAACTGAGTATTAGGTCAAAGCAAAAATGCTTAAGTATTTAAATGCCTTCAGGCGGTTTTAGAGAATGCATAAATTAAACAAGGTAGGGGAATTCAGGGTCTTTGTAGCTGGGTGTTAACATATTGCAGATCACCTTTATGAAAAACTAGAGATTTGACTACCAATATCGCAACTGGGACAGACACTAGTGAACATGTTACTGACCCTGTCTACATCACAGAACATCAGGCCTCCTACAGAGTGGACAACAGAGGTAGTTACCCAAACGGCACCCTATTCCCTGTGTAGTGCACTGCTTTTGACAAGGGCCCATGGGGAATAGGGTGCCATTTAGGACGAAGCAGGATACATTTTAGAAATTTAGCAGACGCTCTTATCCAGAGCGACTTACAGTTAGTGAGTGTATACATATTTTTTTTTCTTCAGATTATTATTATTTCTTTTTTCATACTGGCCCCCGTGGGAATCGAACCCACAACCCTGGCATTGCACGCGCCATGCTCTACCAACTGAGCTACACAGGATAACCACTACTATGCTGTTTCACAGCACCTTTGCGCTACACAGATTGGATGGGGTCCTAAGCATTGAACTCCATGACAGCTATATGCTCCTCAATCAATTCATTTGGCATTCTTAACATGTAAGTATACATTCACAATTCTGGAAAGAGTACTACGTTTTGCTGCCTCAGTAAAGGCATGAATTCTAGCCTACAACACCAACTATTTTTCACCGGCAAAAGTTGTTTTATTTTGTTAGTTAACAGGAGGGGAAATAGCTGACCAAATTTCACTGTAATTTGCAGTGAGTTCCATGCAGAGAATTCCTTGGAGATTAGGCCTCCCACTGTGCATGGCTTTATCCTCATAAGTGCTTTGTTGAAGCTAATGTACGCAGTGTGCTACGATTATCAGCCAACATCATGTTTCTCATTTAGCATTCATGGTGCTTTTGGACAAGGTATGATCGCAATCCATTCTTTGGTTTTATTTCCCTGGTAACGTTTCCAAATGCTAACATTTTAGCATTTGTGCCACAAATCCCATTCAAGTTATGGTACCAATAGTAGCATTTTTTCACGCATCATATCCAAATCATCCGGAAGTATCTACAATTGATTGTGAAGCTCAACAAAGTCACTTATAACTGATTTGAACATGATAAAAAATGCTAATATCTGTACCATGACATTAATGGGATTTGTGCCACAAATGCAAAAACGCATGGATTGCTGTCATACCTTGTCCATAGACTGCTTTCAGGGTAAGGAAACCAATTTGTCATTTTGTCATTTGGTTGAACTAGTTATGAAACACAATGTACATACATTTCCATCAATGTTACAGGATGGGATCAATACCACTGTAAGACATTAGTAAGCAGTTCAAAACTGTTTTTAACATGGACCCCTTTATATTTCTCCTCTACCTATTGCCCACTCGCTCTCATGCTCATACATAGACCCACACCAGAACAACATGATCAGCAGACACAAATAATGATATAGTAGCAACATGTGGACAAAGATGCATTATCATGTAGCGCACGCACACAAACCCACCAGAACAAGCATTCTTTGCTATGTAAATACAGACTGGAGGGACCAGATAGGATGAAAAAAAGTCCTCCATTTACTAAAATGCCACGGGCTGTTTGTACGTCTGTCTGCTACATACAGCAGGAATTATCTGGTGCCCTGCCAAGCAGCAGCCCTGGTGGAAATGTTAGGAAATCATGCACATTCCATTTTGCAGATGCACTCGTGGTGGAGCATTTAGGGTCCACATGCTGTGGTGGGATTCTGGTGTGTGTGATGGGTGGAGGGAGGGAAAGGGCAGGTCATTCCAGAGCATTGGGATTCAAGCAGTAGAACATCCCTGACAATTGTTAAGGCCAGGTCCCAGTAGGTAACACACACAGTGAAATGTTCTCTCTCTCTTTCTCTCTGGCTGACATGTGAAACACAGCAAACAGACAATAAACAAAAACACACCCCGTCTTTATCAGGTAGAGTAGTTGAAAACAAAGCAGAAAGCTCAGGAGTATAGAGCTAACCAGGGTGTGATCTTAGATCCCTTTCCCACACCCACTCAGCACCAGCACTGTTACTCCTTCTCTTTATCCATCTCGCCTTCTCTTCATCTGTCCATCTCTATTCACCCCTCTTCAAAGGCAAGGGAAAAATTCTCTGCTGAACAGACACAATACTGTATCAGGATATGAATCTATCTTCAGACTGTGGAGTGGTTGGTTCTCTTTACAGGTTCCCATTTACTCTCCTTTCCATAAGGTTTAGGCCTACAAGTTTTGAATGTGAAAAAAAAGGTTTCAGGTGAGATTACTGAATTAATGTAGCTTTCCTTTTTAAAAACATGTGCCTTTCTTTCATGTTCATCACACTGTGACCCGCACTTAAATTCACCGACCTATGGGCTGGCTCGCAATGAGCCCTGGCATGCAATGTGAGTACTCGAGCAACAGGGGTGATATGGAAGGATAAATATCCTGGAGATATTGCGCCATCTGCTGTTCATTTAGCCCAACTACACTTTTATCCCTAAACCAGAAGATGGTGCTGAAAATCCAATGCATCTGACACAAGATAAAGAGACCAAATGATTTCAGAGCCAACAGTACCACGTTTAATGGTAGTTTGGATAATCAGGAATAAAATCGTTTTAGAAAACAAGCAGCAATACACACAGAAATTAACCTCACAGACAATAAATAAAATCAATCAGCATAGCTTCCCACAGTAGCTGACTGGGAAATACGACATGGCTCTCTAACTAGTCAGAACAGAAAGAAAACTAGCTACAATTCTGAATAGAACTATGTGTAACTGTGCAATGCAAAACCAGGAAGGGTAGTTTAAGACAAAAGCTAAATGAGTACATTCAAAGGTTTGACAACAGAATAGAGTCTAAAAGCATATTTTAAAAAGACTTGGCTGACTACGGTTTTACTTTCACTATAATAGACAGCAAGAGACAAACGCAACTGAATAGTATGAGTTTTGACAGCATGATCCAAATAAAACAGGCCACTATGTAGCAAAGCTCGACAGTATATTAAGTCCAGACAGATGCACTGAGTGGTCTTGTCATCTTGTTTTTTTTATAAATACTCAACGGAAGTGTTACGATCTTTACCACCAAAACGAACAGGGCATATTGTCTAAAATAAAAAGGCTGTAAGAAGGGGGGGGGGGGAAATCCCACAGTTAGCACCTCAAACACATCAAACTGTGAAATCAAATGTGAAATCAATATGATTATGATGATGGAAAATCTGGTATATTACAGTCATGTGTTGACGCATTTACTGCAGACAGTTTTGAATGGGTCTTCTTGGTTGATGTCGTTTTTATAACATCTCAGTATCGAAATGAAGAATGGAAAACCTTGTTTTACAATGTTTTGCTTGTTTGCTGCTTACGAGGTCCAGCGCCACCAAGCCACCTTCATCCTGTCCCAGACTGCATCTATAGAGTCAAAAGCTGGGCGGACATCCAGGATGGAGAATTCATAGGTGTCCTTGTTGATCTCTCCGTCGTAGTAGTCGATCACGTAGCGGACTTCCTTCCCACAGCGGTCCACGATCCAGTCATGACGGTCAAATGGCAATTCATATCTGTAGACAGATTGGAAAAAATTTACTTCATACATTATACTGTGAAATGAACTGTGTAAGCATATCAAGGCACCTCCACCTTCAAAGCACACAAACATTTTAAAGTAGAAAACTCTCACCCCATCCAGTGACGCATTCGAGCCCTTGGGGAGAACTCCTTAGCTTTGCCACCAAACCGTTTCAGGGACGGACCGCATGGACATTCCCTAACAAGTAACATGTCAGTGGGGAACAGGTGGATTTTTTTACAACAAAGTAAAAGGGGTGCTAGATCTGGGGGTCAGGTGGGTTATTGATATGTCAGTCTGGAAGTCTTCTAAAAGGATGTAATACATGATTAGCTTAAGTATTATTAACTATGACTAACTATGAATAACTAAATCCATGATTAACTAAACTACTTGATATACTGGCTCTGAAACCATTTTGTCTCTTTTTCTACTCACCCGGCATGGAGGGCCTCCCACTTAAGAATCTCCTGCCATGCTTGCTCGTTGTTGGTGTTGTGGATCTTGATGATGTTGGACATGTCCTGCTGACCCAGTTCATCTTCCTTCCAGCGCCACCTGGTGGTGAAGAGGTAAACATTGCTGGTGAGAAATATAACCTTTCTGCTGTTTTAATGCTGCAATATGTAATGTTTTGGGTGACCAACCAAATTCACATAGAAATGTGAGTTATAGATCTGTCATTCTCATTGAAAGCAAGTCTAAGAAGCGGTATATCTGTTCGATGTGCGCTATTTCTATGTTTCCCGTACTCAGGTTTAGTTTTTGTGTCTTTTACTTTCTGTTTTATACACCAGCTTCAAAAAGCCGAAAATACAATAATTTTGGTTATGGAAAATATATTTCACAGCAGTTTAGATGGTACAATGATTCTCTACACCATACTTGCTTGTTTTGTCACAAACTGAAATGATGCAAACTATTAGAATTTTAGCAACCAGGAAATGAAATGGTGCGATTTCTGCATAGTGCATCTTTTAGGACAGTAGTGATTAACCAAAATGTCGGTTATTTTTCGGTTTTTAAACTCATTAGTTTTTTTCCCTGTGAGCTCAATGCGCACATCACAGTTTCTCTAGAGACAAATCAGATCCAGCCTGAACTGTGCGATGTAGTAGGGAGTTGTAGTTTCCAACAGGCCAATATTCGACATAGTTTAGTGAATAAAACGTGGTAATTAACTACAATGACCATAATCCATTGCGCATCTACTTGTCTGGTCTGTGTTTCTTTTACACCTGCTATGGAAGAGAGAAGAATGTGCAATCGTGAGGTGATATAGAGAGCAGCTGTTGCTTCGCGAGGTATCTCTACCTGAAAATACATAATCTAAGTGATTGATAGTTGGTATTCAGCAGTCATAAAAGTATGCCTTATTTACTTTGAAGAACTACAAACGTGTTTTTGTCACAGCATAGGCAGCAGCTCTATAGAGATATGATGAGTTGGATTAAATGACAGACATCAAATGGAATATACACAACAACTGAAATATTTATTAAAGTAAAGTCATATGAATAAATTATGGTTAATAAGTTATAAATAATAATGGGCTACCATCATGGGTCTTTTATTATTTGTTTTATTCTGTGTTGTTACAGCATTCAACCCACATAATGCATAGTGCATTTAATATTAAAAAATAATAATCGAAACCGAAATCTGTGATGATATTTTTTTATAATTGAACCGAAACAACTTTAAAAAGCACTAACCGCTCAGCACTAAAGGACAGTGCTGTACAGTGTCGCCTCCTGCTTCTGGAAAGCAGTGTTTTGTATAACAAGTATTTGCATGTCTACTAAATAAAACTAAATAAAAAGTCTGACACCAAAACACTTCACAATTACAATTTGTGTTCGCAGATAGTCAAGACACAGCACTTCGATAGCCAAGGGTATATTTTACAGCTTACTATTCCACCATTTTCAGGAAACAAGATCTGTTCAATTGTATCCTTTGTAAAACTACATTATTGTAGCAAAAGTTAGGGTATCCTTACCCCTTCCTGAGCATGGCGTTCCAGAACATCTGCTCCGAGGGATAGACCCAGTTCTTGCCTGTTCCGGCCCGGGGGATCTTAGACTCCTCTCTGTTCACTGGCAGAGGGAAGGGCTGGTCTGGGGCAGGGAGCTGGTTGGGTGGAGGCATCTGGACAGAACAGGATGACAATAACGTTAGCCAACATGTTTAACCTTTGTCTCTTTATCAACTTAGTGACTTTCCCCACATCAAGCCTTTCCCTTCAATACTCTTATTGAGCACCTACCAACCAAGCAAATCAGCTGAAATCATGGTGAGGGAAAACCATAATCATATGATCTACAGCAGCCATACTCAACAGGAATAGTGCCCCAGAACGGGGTGACTGTGGGTCCAGACCAAAAAATGTAATTCAACTCAGTTGGGCTTTCAACTTACTGCTGTTGAGAGTTGTAATAGTAGCATGCATAAGGTGCAATTTATAAATTTGGTAGTGAATGGCAGTTTTCCTCTTAGAGAGCTACACTTCAAAAGTATGTGGACACCCCTTCAAATTAGTGGATTCGGCTATTTCAGCCACATCCGTTGCTGACAGGTGTACAAAATCGCACACACAGTCATGCAATCTCTATAGACAAACATTGGCAGTAGAATGGCCCATACTGAAGAGCTCAGAGATTTCAACGTGGCACAATCATAGGATGGCACCTTTCCAACAAGTCAGTTCGTCAAATTTCTGCCCTGATAGAGCTGCCCCGGTCAACTGTAAGTGATGTTATTGTGAAGTGGAAATGTCTAGGAACAACAACAGCTCAGCAGCGAAGTGGTAGGCCACACAAGCTCACAGAACGGGACCGCCAAGTGCTGAAGCACGTAGCGCCAACAAGAGGGGTGTAGCATTTTGAACCATTTGGGGTTATGAGGTGGGGGTTTGTTACTACTTCCGATAAATGACTATATCCATCCGGACCTTTGCCACCTTGGAAATTTGCCTGACCGTACATTCTGAAATAGAAGTTGAGTACCCCTGCTCTACAGTTCCACAGGTAGCAGCAGTGAACAGTTAACAGGGATTTGCATGCTAAATCATCATACTGACCATGTTAGCGGGGTCAATGTCAGTCTGGCCCTGTCCAGCTGCTGCTGCCTTCATAGGACACTCCACAAACTCATATGCCCGGTCCTGGTGCACTGGCCCTGCTGCAGCAGCAAGCTTCTCTTCTGTAGGGGCAGCAGCAGTGGCCTGGTGCATGGGGCACTCTGATGGAGGGGCAACTGCTGAGGGCATTGATGGCAAAACCAAAGTTAGAACACAGATCCAGGGAATAGGGACAGGAGTTTTTCCTAGTCAAGTAGGTCACAAGGTCGGGAATAACACCTTCCCCAAAGAGAAAAGCTCCACACGATAGATAGAGGATGTATAGTCCTCAGAGAGGGAAATTGTTAGCACAACCTGTCAGACACAAGAAAGATTTACATTTATATTTACATCATTTAGCAGACTCTCTTATCCAGAGCGACTTACACATGTATATGACATAAGAATAGACTAAATGGCATAACCAAGCCACTGACAGAGAGAACAAAGGATGAAGCTACGATGGACTGAAGATGTTAGCGATCATTATTAGTCTGTGATTGTACAATAATCATCACGATCAACCACTACATTATTTCCAACATGGTTTTCTTTCATCCGGTAGATTTCTTGGAAATGCATCGATCTCTCTCTCCCAATCTCTAAGGCAAATGCTGTTGGATGTTACAGATAAAGGCCTGTAGAACAAAGTCTCTTAAATCAGTTCTGAGAAGGTGTTTAGTATAGAACTCTGATCAACCAACACATCAATCACTACACAGAATACAAATTGTACACTATATACTTTGAGCACCTTATCTCTTGAAGGTTTTGGCATTCAGGTCCAAAAAGTAACCTCTGGGCACTTCTACAATGGGCAAATATATATGGAAGTTTTCGTTCAAATCAAGAGGTGCTGTCAAAATGTGTTTGAATTCAAATTGATTTACCTTACTAACAATAGTACAAATAGTAAGCAAAGTTCATGAAAAACTCAATAAAAAACGATATAGACCGGCGAGCTATTGGTCCTGGTGATGAAGCAGGGATGGAGCCTACCTTTGACTGGTTCCTGTGCCTGGTGCATAGGACAGCCCTGTGGTGGGGCCACGCCAACACCAAACGCAGGAGGGGGTGAGGCCATCATAGCTTCGGCCTTCACTGTGGGTGGAGCAGGACTGGACATAGTGGCACCCATCCTGACTGACCTGTCCTTCTCCAGAAAGATTGGCTAGTCTAGAGCTAGAGGACAGAAGTGGTCAGATGTTAGCTAGCTGAATCAGTCTAGTCTAGTTAGCCAAAATACAGCTTAACTTCTTGATAGTACAGTAACGTTAGTTTACTAGCAGCTCTTGTTATGTCTCATAAATGCCAGCTAGTCTGGACAAAGGCTCTAACTACGCCAGAAAAGGCAGTTATGTCGCTAAATAGAAAAAACAGAACTTGTTACAAAATAAATTGTGTAACTCAGCCACATAACAAGCTAGCATTAGCTGCTATCTAGCAATATTTCAATGATGTGTTTAGAAACAGAGATGTACTGAAAACAAAGCGTATCACACCATCGGATGTTTCCTCACTGTATATTTTTACCAATCTGATCAACATAAAACATCATAAGAACAATTTTCAACATCAAATCACCTACCTTGGTCCTTGAAATCGCTGGCTCTGTATCCCCAATGTCAACGTGCGGACACGTTTCCCACAATGCAATGCGTTTGGCACGTTGGTTGTTCAAGAGGTTGCTGTGTAGTTGCAAAACAGTAGTCCTACCAAAGATGGTATAGTATGTGGTCCCGTCCTACTGTAAATTATAATTAAAGACTAAGGAGGTGTGGTATATGGCCAATATACCACGGCTAAGGGCTATTCTTATGCACAATGCAACGCGGAATGCCTGGATACAGCCCTTAGCAGTGGTATATTGGCCATATAGCATACACCGCCAAGGTGCCTTATTGTTATTATAAACTGGTTACCAACATAATAAGAACAGTAAACATGTAATTTTGCTCATACCCTGTGGTATTGACTGATATACCACTGATTTCAGCCAATCAGCATCCGGTACCCAAACTACCTGGTTTGTAATAAAATCAATCATTCTCTTTCGTGTTTGTAACGGGTAGCCAAATGACCTATGGGAACTCCTTTCCCCTTCACATTATGTGATTGAGTTGCTTAATATCCAAGATGTTTACAGTCACGGCACACCCTTACTGTACCCACGTGACCTGTCACTATAAAAGGTGTGTGGCGTGACATACTGTTTTTTCTTCACTCTCATATTTATGTGTTTTACATTACGAGATTGCTATTAATCCCCTTCGGATTGCTTTCTTACGGAATTGCGCTTCTTCAACGACACGAGGAGGTGCCGTGAGTAGTTGGTTTTTATCGAATCTACTCCCCCTCTCTGTCGTTATTGTGCCGGCCCATACTAGCTAACTTTTATTGCTTTTTGTCAGGCATTTAGACTGCTTCCAAGTGGCGCAGCGGTCTAAGGCACTGCATCTCAGTGCTTGAGGCGTCACTACAGACCCCCTGGTTCGATTCCAAGCTGTCTCACAACCGGCCATGATTGGGAGTCCCATAGGGCAGTGCACAATTGGCCCAGCGTCGTCTGGGTTTGGCCGGTGTAGGCCGTCATTGTAAATAAGAATTTGTTCTTAACTGACTTGCCTAGTTAAATAAAGGTAAAAATAAAAATGTCCATCCTTGTGCGTTAGCTAGCTAGTTAGCTTCGGGTCTATCCCGTTTCCTCAGAAGTTAGCTACTAGCTAGCTAAGTTCGCTAGCCTAGCTTGTTGGCGCATGTTGACCTGTGGTGTCATGCCAGTCCCCGCTTGACTGCCACACCAGCCTGTTGATCCAGCATTATCGCTCCCTCGCTTGGAGTTTTGCTGTGATCACAGAGCTCAGGGGTGCTGTAGGCTACCGGCAGTGGAGGCTGCTGAGGGGAGGATGGCTCATAATAATGGCTGGAACGGAGCACATGGAATGGGATCAAACACGTAGAAACCATGTGTTTGATGTATTTGATACCATTCCATAGATTCCGCTCCAGCCATTACCACAAGCCCATTCTCCCCCAATGAAGGTACCACCAACCTCCTGTGGCTACTGGTCCTCACTTGACCGAGTCCACCAAAACTGAGACTGACAGTCCACGCTTGACTGTGCCAGTCAGATAGCTTCATATAGGTGGGAGTTTCAAGCCCGGACCTTGATACATATTTAGGAGGGAGTCTCAACCTCAAAGCACGACGGGTCGGAGCCAACGGTAAGTATAACTTTCTCTTGAAGCATCTGAAACCTTTACAGAGGCAATCAAAGCATACACGAGACACACCGAAACAAACAAGCTATTTTTTGTTACCTTTTTCTTGGAGCACACTTCTCATATGTGAAAATCCGTTCTTCGCACACTGATTCAGTGCTGTACACAGGATGACGTTCCACCCATGTCAACAGTGTGAAAAACAACTCCCTGCCTTAGATGAGCACACACGTTGCATTCTTTGCTTGGGTGCTGAACATGCTCAAGCGGCTGCACAGAGTAGCATCGTTTGCACTCACTGTCAGAAATTCTAACCAAGAGCACTGAAATCTCGACTTGCGCGCTTTGTGGGCGAAGCCTCCAGATTCTCATCAGATGAGTCTCCTACACAGATCAATGATTATTCGAAAACGTTCCAGGTCTAATGACAGGTCTCACTCCCCTTGTGATCCACTGCTCAATAAACGCCATCGCTCATCCTCGCCTGGGCACAAATCTCAACGCACTGAGATTAAGTCACTGGACAGTCATATGGCAACCATTGAGTCTGCCCTCGAGCACATCCTGGCCAGGCTTCCCCCGCCGGTACTTAACCCAACCCTACCTCTGAACGGAGTGTGGTTGTTGAATCTTATGACACAGACTATGAGCACTCTGATGATGATGCTATGTACCACAGCTCTAGCATCATCCAGTCTCAGCCTACCGGCCTGGCAGTGATGGTCAACCAGAAAATATCCTTGTCTGAGATCTTTGAGAGGGCAAGCACGAACCTCATTGTGGGACATGCACCTACTGCCATGGTGTCCACATCCTCTTTGATTAATTAAGTTCTTCAAAGACCAACATCCATCCTGTTGTTCAAAGACTTTGTGCGTGAGCTCCAACGCACTTGCCAAATGACAGAACCCCTGCCATGCCAAGCATATGCACTCGCTTAGCTTCAGTTCATGGTGCAGATGAGAATGGTTTTGGCCATTTCCCCTGGAATGGACAAATCATTTGCTTCGCTTGTTCTGAACGCTTCTCTCTGTCACAGTTCAGATCAAGAGCTGCCTAACAAACGATGCAGGGCATCTGATCGCTTCCTACGCATGACACATGACAGCACTGCTTCAGCTGCAAGGCTTAGCAATTCAGCAACGATACTGGCCTTCCATCAGAAGGAGCTTCAGAAACGCCTCTCCGCAAACTATGATGCTGAGACCTGAAAGAACTGTCTACAGTTACAGACCTGCTCATCCAGTGCCTTCAGGGCAATGCTCAGATGATTGGGAAATATTTGGCAACACTGTGTGGTGCACGGCACCACCTATGGTTAGAGCAGTCCAAGCTCCCTGACAAAGAGACGTTTCCAGTCCTAGGTGTACTCATATCATCTGGCCAGACATTTGGCCCAGCAGCAGCCCACCTCCTCCAAGTGTCTAAGGAGGACAGATGGAGATTCAGTGCCTCATTCCAAAGCCTAGAATGCATCATCCAGCAAACCATTACTCCCATCCCAGTGCCCCAACTGGGATACCAAGAAACCAGGCTGAGAATCACACTGCACCTGCTCAGGAGTGGAGGAACAGACACTCTCAGCCCTACCGAAGAGGTGGAGCGCAGCATCGCATAAGAGGCAGAGACGCATCATATGCAGACCGCATCCCCTCTGCACCACAGCACACAGAGCCTTGGTTCTGATGGGACCGACTCTCTAGCGCAACACAGTTTCCTCGAGCACCACCTTTCCAGCTGGAAAAGGTCAATGGCCAACAAATGGGTGTTACGCACTCTAACACTACTTACTTCAATTTTATCAGCGACCCCCATGCTTCAGGGGTGTGTTGAAAACAACAGCTCGCAACCCTGCTCAAAGCAAACACTCTGCTCAGAAATATCCTTGCTCCTGGAAAAGCATGCAATCGAAGAGGTAGAACCAGCACAACAAAACTGCGGGTTCTACTCAATCTATTTTCTGGTGCCAAAAAAGGGCGGAGGCCTCCGTCCTGATCCTGGACCTAAGGTGTCTGAATCGTCATCTTTCAGCACTTCCCTTTAAAATGCTGACAATCAAAACCATCCTTCAGTCAGTACAACCAGGTGATTGGCCTTCGAAAAATGTGTTTTTCAGTTTCGTTTTCTACCCTTCGGCCTTTCGCTCGCCCCTCGCACTTTCACAAAATGCATAAGCACAGTGCCAGCCCCCCTTCTCCAAGCAGGAGTCAGGCTCCTGAACTACTTAGAAGATTGGCTAATATGTGCAGGGTCACAAAGCAAAGCTTTGGCACACACATCCATGGTCTCACATCACCTCTACGAGTTGGGACTAACAATGAATTTGGAAAAGAGTTCTAAGCCAACCCTGTCTGTTTTGCCCCATAGTTGCGCACGTCGGTTTTGTTGCTAAACAACCAACCCGTCTTAATGTAATCTGTATAGGATTCCAATGTTTATTATGGAAACAGTACCATAGCAGACATGTAGGTGTCAGTATAACCCTATAGTTTTCCACAGAGCAATAGCAAAAATGGTTTAGGATGAAGATAATCCCCAATCACGCTTGTATGCGATGTCATGGCGACGTTGGCTAGCTAAACTCATGCACAGAAACACGTAATCGGGTCTAAAGGTCTCGCGCTGAACTGCGCATGTGCATGCAGTCAAATCAAAGGCACATATAAAGTTGTTTTTGACTAAAATGAAAATGTGTAAGTGTCACTTTCACAAAGTTGGAGTAATAACATGTTCAGCTACTTAAGACATTGGCTCGAATCTAGGTTGTGCCTTTAGACTTAGAGAAAATTAACAACTAAGGACGAATTTTCCACTTCTCTCATCGACTTCTAACCCCAAACCTGGTCTGGTCTGCCGAGTCTGCTTTGCAAGCATTCCTGGAAATCATGGGATGTTGGGCCTCTGGGTTTAGAAACGCTTTGGCAATAGCCTTGTATGTTCATTTGTAATATTTGATGTCCCAAATCCCCTTCATAAAGTAGAACACACAAACAGACAGTAAGCAAACGATTTAATTCGGAATATTTATTGACACTTAAAATGCTGCATATTGCTTTACTCAGGCAAATGGCATCAGGTGTGTAAAATTAAGACCAACAAGTGTGAATTCAATTTAAAAACTGCTCATGTTCTGGCCAATATGTAAACTTTCCCTTTCCACAAACAGGTCAGGGGTGCTGCTGAATGTTTTTTAGTATATCTTTCTCTTTGGGTGAACATTGGACCCTATATATCCTCATTACATTTGGACATTTTTAATAAAAACCTAAAAATCATGAAAAGGAACACATATCGTCACAGAAGTACTGTAAAAGATCAACAACAAAAGTAAACAATGGCCATCACCCAAACATTTTTTGAACAACTTGAATACATAGGATTCAGCGCTCAGTTCACTGTATCATCTCTGTAGGCTGTATATCCCCCCTCTTTCATTCACTAAACACTTGCAGAATGAGAGAACTAGTATTTTGAAAGCCGGACTAATATTTTGAAAGCCTATCTTGTACAATCACCAGTGGTGTGTACTTTCTATTGGTTACAATGAAATGCAAGACGTAAGGTATTCATGTTTATTTGCACTGCCCATATTGCAACTGTGCTGATTATTATCAAGTATAATTTTCCTAATTGGAGATTTCTGTGCTGGGTGTTAGCCACAGTTTTTTCACATGTTCACAATCATCATCGCTGGATAAAATAATGAACAACAAGTACAGAAGAATACTAATGAGGTTAGACATCATGTACATATCAAGGATAAAAAAGAAACAAAATACAGCTTGCAATAAAATTGCTATTTGTTTACAGTGATCTCCATGCAATATCACATGCAGTTATACAGGGTGTGTGAAGAGACCATACTGCCACAACCATAGACTGACTGTATGGCCACAACACACACAGTACTGAGGGCTGATGTTGTCATTATGACTATGTACCACAAATCTACCATAGCTTCATTTCCATAATCCTTCCCTTCGTAACCATATTTCCACCCATCCTTTCAGATCAGTGAACATCGAGGAGAGTTGATAAGGAGAGGAGAGTATAATAGAACACTGTCAGGGTTTGTACAGTTTTAGTTCAACGGAAATGTATAGAGCTTCAATTAATACTGCTCTATACTGGCACACGTTTCACGGAGAAATGTGAAATAGTTTATTACTCTACATTCATTGCCATAATCCACTCCACACACACACTTGTATAGAATTGTGCTATCCTTTTCAGAATGAACATGACATGTTAAAATTATATTGAGGCGGGCTTATAGTCCCCTGTAGCTCAGTTGGTAGAGCATGGCGCTTGCAACGCCAGGGTTGTGGGTTCGTTTCCCACGGGGTTGCCAGTATGAAAATGTATGCACTCACTAACTGTAAGTCGCTCTGGATAAGAGCGTCTGCTAAATGACTAAAATGTAAAAATGTAAACGCTTATGAAAACAAACAAAGTACTGTAGAAAGACCACATTTTGAACATTCCATGGGAAACGCCGTAAAACAATCACTGTGCAATTAAAATCAGATTTTTAAAAGGCAACCATCACAAAAGAAGACTGGAGAACATGACAATGCCAAATATGATGACTTGAGTTCCCTATTTTGTTTCACAGACCATTAAAAAAATGCTTTTTTGTGTCCACCAATCAAAATTCAAAGTACCCATTTTATTCCAACGTTTTTGAAAAGTTAGCTTTTCATTTGGGATGAGGACAATGCTAGTAGTTCCTTATCCTCACAAACATTTGTCATATCTACTTTGTGTTAAATTGTCATTCAGTCAGTAAAATACTAATGTAGTATGACACACCCTCTTTTCCAAAGACTGGACACGTAAATCGTGTGTGTGTGTGTGTGTGTGTGTGTGTGTGTGTGTGTGTGTGTGTGCGTGTGCACTCTAGACTTAACCGCTCAGTGAGAAAGCCGGCATATATAACATTCATTATAAATGCATGTCACTGTATTGTGAAAGCTTTTCCTCATACATTTGCATAATGAATACCTCTAATATGCCATAAAACTCATTAAATAATATATGTAGGTACAAACATTGACGTGCTGCTTCAGTACATAACTGGTAGAAAATAAATTACATTTGATACAGTTCAGAAGAAGTTCCTTACCCCAAGATCCTAGAACAAGGTGGGTGTTAATAGCCATTGATCTAGCTCAGAAGGGACATACTCATCCAATAACATTGTCTCAATGCCCCCTCATCCAAACATGGAGGAAACTCTAGTTTCATATTGATCTGATTCCCAGTACTTAAAGTTAATTGCAGCATGCCCCAGTTGACTGTACATGTATGTTGATAGACAGTATGTGTGTAAAGTAGAAAGAGAAAAACAACTTGTAACCATACATGTTCTGAGATTATGGCATTTAAACTCTCAAATTATTGAAATGTTGGAGGACAAAAAGCTCACATTTATTATATCTGAGCAAATAAAATCTGAGAAGAATGTCATAATCCAGCTAATACCTCTCACGATGCATTTCCCTATCGCTTCAACTAACACATTCTCAAAGTTCTCTTTCAACATCCTCTTTCACAGGCAAGCAGCGCGACATCTCATATGGCAATACCAGCAAAGTGCACCGACCACCGTCCCGTTTTTGATTAAAACAAATTATCAACATAAATATTTAAACTCAAAATCCACCAAAATCTGTAACCCGGCTGGGCAAATGAAATGCATGAATCGATTCCTTACCTCTTTAACTTTCCCTTTTTCACATGGCGTGAGAGGCCTTACTCCATTTGAACCAGGGTTGTATCTGTCTTCTTCAGCATTGGCTCAGTTTCAGAGTGACTCCTTGAAAGTCAATGAGATTGATTCCTTTCAGCTCAGCTCTTGGCTCTAGGTTTAATTGCACTAGATGTCCATCCAGTTTTCTGACAGACACTCTGTTTGGGTTTAAAGGGGAAGATGCTACACCCTGCCCTCCCTCAGCAGACAGACAGCAGCATGGGCTTTTTAATGACACAGACCATTACTGAAATATTTCCTGCATTGGTTCCTCTGTGTTCAAAATGTAAATATTCAACCTCTGTGATTCAGGCAACCAGAATATACAGTACCAGTCACAAGTTTGGACACACATACTCATTCAAGGGTTTTTCTTTATTTTTACTATTTTCTACATTGTAGAATAATAGTGAAGACATCAAAACTATTCAATAACACATATGGAATCATGTAGTAACCAAAACCGTGTTAAACAAATCAAAATAGTCCTCTGTAGCTCAGCTGTTAGAGCATGGCGCTTGTAACGCCAAGGTAGTGGGTTCGATCCCCGGGACCACCCGTATACAAATTTTTTTTTATACACGCATGACTGTAAGTCGCTTTGGATAAAAGCGTCTGCTAAATGGCATATTATTAAAATATATTTTATATTTGAGATTATTCAAAGTAGCCACCCTTTGCCTTGATGACAGCTTTGCACACTCTTGGCATTCTCTCAACCAGCTTCACCAGGAATGCTTTTCCAACAGTCTTGAAGGAGTTCCCACATATGCTGAGCACTTGTTGGCTGCTTTTCCTTCACTCTGCGGTCCAACTCATCCCAAACCATCTCAATTGGGTTGATGTCAGGTGATTGTGGAGGCCAGGTCATCTGATGCAGCACTCCATCACTCTCCTTCTTGGTCAAATAGCCCTTACACAGCCTGGAGGTGTGTTGGGTCATTGCCCTGTTGAAAAACAAATGAAAGTCCCACTAAGCGCAAACCAGATGGGATGGCGTAGCACTGCAGAATGCTGTGGTAGCCATGCTGGTTAAGTGTGCCTTGAATTCTAAATAAATCACTGACAGTGTCACCAGCAAAGCACCCCCACAACTCCTCCTCCATGCTTCATGGTGGGAACCACACATGCGGAGATCATCCGTTCACCTACTCTGCGTCTCACAAAGACACGGCGGTTGGAATAAAAAATCTCATATTTGGACTCATCAGACCAAAGGACAAATTTCCACTGGTCTAATGTCCATTGCTCGTGTTTCTTGGCCCAAGCAAGTCTCTTCTTTTTATTGGTGTACTTTAGTAGTGGTTTCTTTGCAGCAATTCGACCATGAAGGCCTGATTCACGCAGTCTCCTCTGAAGAGTTGATGTTGAGATGTGTCTGTTACTTGAACTCTGTGAAGCATTTATTTGGGCTGCAATCTGAGGTGCAGTTAACTCTAATGAACTTATCCTCTGCAGCAGAGGTAACTCTGGGTCTTCCTTTCCTGTGGTGGTCCTCATGAGAGCCAGTTTCATCATAGTGCTTGATGGTTTTTGCAACTGCACTTGAAGAAACTTTCAAAGTTCTTGACATTTTCCAGATTGACTGACCTTCATGTCTTAAAGTAATGATGGACTGTCATTTCTCTTTGCTTATTTGAGCTGTTCTTGCCCTAATATGGACTTGGTCTTTTACCAAATAGGGCTATCTTCTGTATAACTTTTAACAAGGCACACCTGTTAATTGAAATGCATTCCAGGTGACTACCTCATGAAGCTGGTTGAGAGAATGCCAAGAGTGTGCAAAGCTGTCATAAAGGCAAAGGGTGGCTACTTTGAAGAATCTCAAATATAAAATATATTTTGATTTAATTGTTAACACTTTTTTGGTTACTACATGATTCCATATGTGTTATTTCATAGTTTTGATGTCTTCACTATTATTCTACAATGTAGAAAATAGTAAAAATAAAGAAAAACCCTGGAATGAGTAGGTGTGTCCAAACTTTTGACTGGTACTGTATATATATAAAAAAGCTAAATGAAAGGGAGGTGCTTCAAGTTGTTTTGGGGAGCACATAAGCATTCACACATTGAGTCTATGGTCTGGAACAAGCAGTAAACGTTTGACTTGGTGAAGCGTTTGGGAAAGACGGACGTCATCCCAGACATGCTATTTTGTGATAAAATGCAACAGAAAAATTATTTGCCATGCACAGAAAGTATTGCTAAGAGGCAGTTATACCCATCAATGCCCAAGTTATTGTCCCTTTGGCCACATCAATGTCCTGCGTCCACTACCATAAAGTTCAGTCAGTGCAAGACTTGGCTTTTTGTGTGAGTTAGTTTACACTGAAACAGTAGTCCCAGTCAGGTAACGTTACTAATCCAAATTGTGCACTAACAGGGACAGTGGTTCAATGGGCTCCCCCTACCCATAACATCAACCATCCTCTTGTTTTTTAGTCAGTCTTTCCATTCTCCTGTGTCCCCACTTTGTGTCGTCGGGCAGAGCGCATGACCTTGTAGCAGCCGCGGGCGATCTTGTGCATCCACATGACGTTCATGACATCCAGACAGATGCTGGAGATGATCCAGGCAGCGCGGCCTCCCGGTGGGACGCGGTAGAAGGCGTCGGTGTCATACACGGACCACATGCGGCTGTAGTAGAGGGGCATGACGGCAATGCGAACCAGGAAGAAGACCACAGCCATGGCCATCCCGTTAGCAATGTTGGGCCTGGAGGACTTGGGGTAACCTAACACTTCAAAGAACCAGCTGGAAGAAAGACAGTCAGTGATGTAAAGGAGGAGAAAAACTGAAGTTAACACAACTCTGGGCCTAACGGGATTCAAACAAGATAAAAGGGTAATCTCTCACACGTGGACATAAAAAAAAAAACATCCAGTAAAATCAATATATGAAAGAACTGTCCAGTGTTTCCAGATTTGTATGAAATATGACCTATAATGAATTACAATATGAGTGAAATAGTTTTACTTCCAAAAATGTTTAAGTATGTTAAAAAGCAGCTTTTCTGTGTTGGAATGGTGTGGGCGTACACCAACAACAGAATGTTGTGGGCGTATACCGGTCATTAAAAATATTAACGCGAGACGACCGCTGATTGGCCAGCTCATCCTAATCAGGAGGATGACATCATCCTCTATGAGGAAAAAGCAAGCATTTTTAAACAGTCTGTTTGAGATACAAGTTAGAGGTGGGGTTTTTGAAGTTTTTTTTTCTCCATTTTATGCTTTGGCCACATACGAGTATAGGATGAGTCAACAACATTATTTGGTTATGAGTTAACAGAATATTAACTTTTAAAAGTTTAACTGGACAGTTACTTTAAACAAATTAATAGGGTTTATTTTTTCAGCAGCTGCTTTGCAGGGCTTCTGAGCTAATTGGTTATGAGTGTCACTGTCCTGTCTAAGCTCAGGCCTTAGTGTGGGTGGTACCTACCACAGACATATTCAATGGGTTTATATACATCTGCTACCTACCGCTGGTTCACACACGGCGTGGAGAACTCTGCAAGCAGACGGAAGTTAGCAAAATAAGGCAACATTCCTTGTCCCTGGAAGAACATGGTAAAAAGAAGAGAATGGAGAGAAACAATGAAACAGGAAAGAAAGGGACTCAAAATGCTTTCATTTGAGCAAACATCACATCAGTATAGTCAAAGTGAGGCCTTCACACCGTTTGTGTACAGAAAGATATGAATCAATCATCATTAACAAAAGAACACAAGTGGTGTGGGGGGGGGACAAGTTAAGATCTCACTTTTACCATACTGAACTTTTCAGTGCATAAATGTCAATTTCATCACTCGATATTAAGATAGAAGACAAATGTTTTTTCCAACACCAATAACGGCAGGAAAAAGTACTCTCAGACTATATATTATATACTGCATGTAAGGGTTATAATTCCGCTACTGATCTCTTGGTGAAGAGACTTTTTGATATATCACACGTCATCGTGCTGAACCAAAGCTGAGATTAAGGAGACATTTTGGAGGGGTTCGGATCTAAAATTAAATCATTTAAATCACTTTCTGATTATAGGTCTGCTCTGTGGCTATTTTTCAGATCAAACAGTAAAGTCTCATCCCTCAGGAGACTCAGCTAACGTCTTAAGGCTTTTTAAGGGTCCACATTTAGTCTGTGTTCTTATTTCATCTTCAGTAGACCCCTATATACTGAGTGCTCATTCATATCATTGAGGGTATATTTACGATGACAGCAATGAGGCTCCAGGACTAAAAGAACACATGAAGTTAGTGACTCAGTAAAAAAGGGTGTTAGTGAAACAGCTAAATTACAATCCCTTCACACACACACACAACATGAATAGGTTAACAGCATTTCTAACAGCATTGTGTTAAGTAAAGCTCAACATAGTGTGCACATACAGCCAGGGTTTGACATGTAGACATTCAGCTACTAGCCAAATGAGCAATGATTAGCCATGCATATAAGAGCGATGCTTATAATCACAAGCTGTTATAGGAAGGTATCGACCCTATATTGTCACCCTCGGACATGAGGGCTGGTATCATCTCGCTCTCTGCCGGGTGGTATACAAATCAGCTCATAAAACAAGTCTAATTTCCATATCCTATTTGTACTTCAGGCTTAACACAGGGCAAGATTATCCAAATAGCACACACCAAAAAGGGGAAACTTACCTTGTAAGACTGAAACAAAAGTTCATACGTGGCATATACTTACTCTCAAGATATGGTCATACAGGACAAAAGGTATCCGGTTCACGTTATACCAGAGAGGATATGAACTTTCCCAGCATCTCCATGCTAGTACCTCTAGGTACTGGTAAATCTATACTGATACTGGACAGATGGGTCATATCTGCTCAGTGTAGCGCAATAGCAATAACAGCAGACAAGACAGGAAGGATTCAGTCTAGAGGAGTCAGGCCTGGTCTTAAGCTTTTACATTTTACACAACCTAATTTGAATTGGGTAGTTTCTGCATTAATGTTTTGCTGGTAATTGTGGGACTATATTATTTTAAGAAACCGTATTAGCAAAGGATAGAGACAGACAATAGAGAAAGTTAGAGGTTGTAAAATTGTAGCTGTCCCATTATGGCGTATGTGAGAGAATATGGGCAGCGACATTGAGGCCATCTCCATTTTGAAGTAGTCCATTTTCCTCTTCAACTATGTCTATGAGTTGGTAAATAAATGGAAAGGGTGCATACTGCCACCTGGAGTGTGTTGTTTGAACAGGTATAAAGCCCAGGTTGGCGATTTACTGCCACCTGCAGTTACAGAATGTTTGCTCATGAGTATAATTCATTGGCTGATCCCCTAACCCATAGGAAGTCCCACCCAGTTGACTACTTAAAAATGTTGAAAGTCCTCAATGGCGCTGCCCATGCTTAGAACAGGCTTTTGGGCACTAGAGTCCTCTTATCTATCTCTATGAGACAGACAAATTAGAGAAAAAGGTGCAACTATAGTTAGAAGCAAAAAATGAAGCAACAACAGCATTGATAGTTTAACATGCATTTTAGAAATCAAACAGTAATAAAACATTAGCCTATTAATTAGTTTGCTTGTTCTGGGTATAGCCTTATTGTTTTTACAATGATCTAATATGCCATAATAACAACATAACAACAAAACCTACATAAAACAGCTGGTTCAATTAATAATAGTCACTGAATTAACAACATACTGACATAACAGCTTTGATACAAAGCCACACAAAAAAAGTAAGTAAATCAATTAGTAAGTTATAAAGGGCTTTTTTGTTGAACAGATTGTAGCAAATGTGTACAATATGTCCCGAAGTTAGTTGGTTTATGTATTTTGCTAAGTAATATCAAGCATGACTGTACTAAGCAGTCATGAGTGTCCAGTGACAGTATGGCTTACACCCGTATTGCCTTTCACATTTTCTCTTAAATGTACACAGAAATGCATTGTACCACAGAGTAGTTTTGCAAGGCATACACTGTACATTATTGTCCTTCAAGTTGGATATGAATACAATTAGCATACAATGCTAAGGGATAAACTCAGCTAAGCTTATTGTAGAAAGATTTAAGGTTATGGATTGGTTTGAACCAAGGACTTATCTTTGTCACTCTTAAAAACAGAGACTCTTGAGGCTTGAAGTTAAGTAGGCAAGTCCTCACAGAGCTAAAGCATTAAAGTGAGGACACATTCATAGACCAGACACATTTAAGCATCATTCATCATTCAGTGTTATTATTATCATCAACATTTCAGTTACTCTCAAGGGCCCTCTGCCATGACAGTCTAGGGAGACGCAGCTTTGGAAATAGTGGGGCAGAGGAGGAGAGTTTGAGAGAAAGGAGGCAGAACTCAGCTCTGGCACAAAACAGTAAGAGGCAGTAAGTAATATGTTGTTTTGGCATGCACATACAGTACTGTTGGAGACCCCTCCACCAACACTGAGAAAGACCGGATGAATGGAGGCATGCACAGCTTAGCTCAGTACAGCTCAGTCCAGCTCCATACAAGACTGAGGGGTCAGTGAAATAAAAGCAGGACTTAAGGGCAAGGTGAGGAGGGAGGGAGGGGAAGGGAAGGAGGGCGTCGGCCATTACCACCATTAAGCATTCCATGCAAAAAATACCAACATTGTTATGAGCTACAGAACCTGGTGATCTGGATGGCTACAGACCAAGGGTGAACAGCAGTGTCCTGGATGACTGGGCTTACAACCTGTTTCACCATTATAACCAGTGGTTATAACCAGGTCCATTGTCACTGTCCAGACAAACAAGCATGTTCCTTGACTAGACAGTGCCGATTAAGCATGGTAATACCCGAAAATCAACAAACCTATCAGTCATTCTTTCAATCCAAACTATCCCTAATGATCATCCTAACCAAAAAGTATGCATACTTCTTGTATCATAACCGCAACCCTTTTCACACAGTCAATCACAATCCCTAACATGAGACAAAACGTTACCAACGAAAGCAATTCCCAATAACTTCCAGAACATAGGCTATCTAATTTCACGAGAACATAAGAGTCCTGCTCCTGGGTGAATGATACAAAATCATACTATCAAGCCAACAGTATGGCCCTATACTATTCTAATGATTCCCATACACATATTTTCAACTGCTGAGGATTAGCTAATGAGATGCATTAGAAGAACGTGAAAATGGTGCCAGCAGGCTAGCGTTCTCACTAGCAGAGTCCTAGCAGAGCTAATAGGAACAGAACTGTTAACATGTTAGCACTCTCCTCACACCCAATCTCCCAGCCCTGTCATCACCATCACCCAGCATGACATGGCACAGCTGTTCACCTTTAGTTGTCTCTTTCCCATCTTGCCTGCATGTTCTGCTATTGGACAATAAGGAACTCACCAGTACATAGTAGTAAGCATACAGCGCTGCTAGGTGGTGCACTACAAAAAACTTGTCGCCTATCGCCTTCCAATAGTAAAATATTAGCAGCAGATCTGGCAAACAGACGAAAAGAACAACACAGGAGTAAACAGAACATATTACAGCAGCTGAACAAAAGTGGTTATAAATGCAATGCAACAACAACAAAATACATTGTCTGGTAATGTCCAATGTTGCCGAAGTGTGGCTAGGGATGGCCAAGATGTCCGGTAGGGAACGAGGACCTTTACAAGTGTGTATGCGACTAAAGTGTCTGTTCTCACCAGATATGAGGTAGCCTGTTGTCACGCCAACATTTATCTTCACAAGTGTGGGATCTCCCCTGTTGGCAGGAAAAAGACACAGATGAGTAACTTTCAACACATTACAACATACAGTAATAGTTTGTACACAACACAGTGGTCCCATCATGCCCTACAACAAAGCGACAGAGTCCTCACCAGACGGGGTCTTCATTGATGGCGTCATCAAAGAGCAGGATGTAGAGGCAGAAGAGTCCCACCACCAGGGCATGAAGCGTGGACACCGTCCTAAAAAACAACACACACATATACACACACCCCTTGTCAAATCTGTGATAAAACACTTTAATAACTGATGCAGATTAAGCGTTCCTGTGCACAGCGCAGGGTGAATTAATTGATTGGTTGCACGGCCACCGGCAGACAGATTCAGCCCAATTAGAACAGGAGATTAAACACTGTTCAGGGGTCACTCAGACAGGCAGGCCATCAGGCAGTCAGACAGGCAAGCGGGCAGTCAGACAGGCAGAAAGCCAGTCACTCAGACAAGCAGGTAGACAGGTTGTCAAGTAAATCAGGCGCTCAGGCAGATATTCAGTCAGGCTGTATCTACTGGAAGCCATCTCTGCGCTCCTCCTGTAACTACCCACGTCAACATCTCCCTGCCAGTCTGCCAGAGCAAGACCAGACCACTACAGAACCTTCCCAGACAGGGTCATCTGAGGGTAATCTGTAATCTTCAAGACAGCTGTGGCTTTGCAGTATACAGTACACTCTGCTATGGACAGACAAGTCAATAGTCTATAGATAATAAATGGGCGGTTGTAATAACTGAGAATATGTGGGGTGATCATGACACCAAAAGGATTTTATATCATAATTGTACATGGTACACAGTGTACCATATGGTGTGATAAGAGTGTATTTAAGTCAGATATTTTGATTAGTGCATCTGGTGAGATAAGGAGCCACATTAAGTCATGAACTGTGTAAAACAACTGGATGACTTGAGGAGTTGACAAATTAACAACTTTATTTTATTATTTAACCTTTATTTAACTAGACAAGTCAGTTAAGAACCAATTCTTATTTACAATGACGGCCTACCCCGGCCAAACCCGGACGACGCTGGGCCAATTGTCCGCCACCCTATGGGACTCCCAATCACGGCCGGTTATGATACAGCCTGGAATCGAACCAGGGTCTGTAGTGACGCCTCAAGCACTGAGATGCAGTGCCTTAGACCGCTCGCTGCGCCACTCGGGAGCCCCTTAGCAGACATTTACGGTAAATATTCTGACCCACATTTTCGTGGATACGTTTGAAAACATTAACCAAGTGTGAACCTGCCCATTATGGAAATATGGAAGATGCCTCTATTCTATATCCACTAAAATGTAACTACTAATGTACTGAAACATGAAGCATATTATCAGTGTGTGTTGCAGCCAGTAGCCAGTGATCTATACCTTGAGTTCCACTCCACCTTCTGCTTGTCTGCGAGGCGTAGGAAGCCAGGGCTGACGCGGGTGGAGACCCAGGGACTGACCCGGTGGAAGAGCCACTGGAAGGAGAGGAAACTGGTGACTGAGATGACCAGGATCAGCTGGTTGAACAGGTCCATGGCCGCCTAAGCCCACTGGAGAGAGGGAGGGAGTGGGAGGAGAGAGAGAGAGTGAGAGGTGAACCGTCAGTTGGATAGATTCAACAAATCACATTTAGGTTGCATTGAGACAACATATAGGCAAAAAAAGAACTACTGTGGATACAACTAGGTAGACAGGCAGTATACTAGGTTTGAGGTTACAGGCAGTAAGGAACACAAACATTTTTGGGCCAACCTCAAGCTTATCACTTATAAACCCAAATCAACCCTGATCTTCACTCACCTACTATTTATCCTAGAATAGTTATTTTCTACAGCCTGTGTTTATCCATTTGAATTGCACCAGACATTTCCCTTCTTGCAAATCCATGGCATGACTGTGGTATGACTGTCTCAGTGTGATGGGGGTGAATGTGTGTTAGTCAGTGAAAACTCAAGCAAGTCAGTCAATGTTTAACAGAACCCAACTTTGGCTTGGCTGAACTAAGGGACTGGAGAAGATGGGTGCTTTAGGCTAATGAACCAACTTACTGGTCCAAAGAGACATATTGACACCAACAGAGGAAGTGCTGTGGAGAATATACGGTTTGTGGCTATCCTGACATACTTTATGGCCAGGGACAGGGTACAGGCAAAGCATAAACTAAATACTTCACCTAGAATGTCACCCAGGCATTGCGCCAGAGTCACTGTAGTAGATCAATATGGGTAGTAAATATGGACTGACAGTAGGGTATAGCACAGAGTAGGTTAAATATTAAAAGTGAAGGCATGTATACACTGAGTATACCAAACATTTACATTTTAGTCATTTAGCAGACGCTCTTATCCAGAGCGACTTACAGTTAGTGAATACATATTTTTTTATACTGGCCCCCCGTGGGAATCAAACCCACAACCCTGGTGTTGCAAACGCCATGCTCTATCAACTGAGCTACATTCCCTCCCCTACCCTGCCGGCCATTCCCTCCCCTACCCTGGACGACGCTGGGCCAATTGTGCGCCGCCCATGAGTCTCCCGGTCGCGGCCGGCTGCGACAGAGCCTGGATTCGAACCAGGATCTCTAGTGGCACAGTTAGCACTGCGATGCAGTGCCTTAGACCACTGCGCCACTCAGGAGTCAATATTAGGAACACCTTCCTAATATTGAGTTGCACCCCCTTTGCCCTCAGAACAGCCTACATTTGTCTGGGCATGGACTCTAAAAGGTGTTGTAAGCGTTCTACAGGGATGCTGGCCCATGTTGACTCAAATGCTTCCCACAGTTGTGTCAAGTTGGCTGGATGGTCTTTTGGTGGTGGTCAACTCTTGATACAAACGGGAAAAAGTTGAGTGTGAAAAACCCAGCAGCGTTGCAGTTCTTGACACACTCAAACCAGTGCGCCTGGCACCTACTACCATACCCCGTTCAAAGGAACTTTTATCTTGCCCATTCACCCTCTAAAATGGCACACACATGCAATTCATGTCTCAATTGTCTTAAGGCTTAAAATTCTCTCTTTAATCTGTCTCCTTCCCTTCATCTACACTGATTGTAGTGGATATAACAAGTGACATCAATAAGGGATCATAGCTTTCACCTGGATTCACCTGGTCAGTCTCATGGAAAGAACAGGTGTTCTTAATGTTTTGTATACTCAGTGTAGATATGGTTTGTGTAAATGGGGCAAAATGTTAATACATCTCACCATATAGGCCTATGCATCAAACAAACAAAAATCGTGCATGTTTCTATTGACCTTGAGACAAAATGTCAGGATTCTAGAAGGCAAACCTTAGCACACAACAGTGATGTCTGGAGTTCTACAGTAAGTCACCATCCAGTAGAGACATGGACTCATTCTGCTGTAGAATCTTCCTTTCTGACCCATGCAGAGTAGAGAAAGCACTGATCCATACAGATAAGCCTTTGGCTCAAACATCACCAGCCAACCAAGCACCAGCTCAGACCAGCAGAAGCCATTACACACACAGTGCACTGTGGAGATTGTCATGCTGCCCTGGGTGCTGCTGCTGATGCGATTGGACACCCTTGAATGTCACGTCCTGATGTTCTGGCTCTTATTTCCTACTGTACCATGTTGCCACATTATGAATGCCAATGCATGCAGCCAGTAACCTTTCATGCAGTAAAATGCAGCTACTAAAATTAGGCCTACATTTTCTACTCAGCAACACAGCATGTTAGCTCTGATCTCCAAAGACGATTCTACTGTGTCACTTCAGGTAATAACACTTATGTACTGTATTATTATTGCCTATACCAGTCGATAGGCTAATGGGCTAGTACACTGTGAATCCATGACCGTAAGGGGCTTTTATTGTGTACAACAGGCTCAGATCCCAGCCCCAGCTGTAAGCCTTCATCCAGCAGCAGCAGCAGTAGAGCAGAGCGTCGGTTGGGGCTATGACCCAGGAGACAGCCTGTCTCTGCCTCGGCAGTGGTGTGGGGCAGTAAACCAGCCCGATCCTGCCAGGCCTGCCACTCAGAAATACACTGATCAGCACTGCAGAAAGCAAAGCAAACACACGCGCACATACACACACACACACACAGGACATCTCCTGTTAGCTTCTTTATACTCTCCCAGTGAGCCAGTTCAATCACTGTAGTTTACAATCAAACGGGAACAGGAAGGCATCTGCAGCAGCACTCGGCTCTGTGCATCTGGGAGTAGTAGTGGTGTGTGTGTGTGTGTGTGTGTGTGTGTGTATGCATATTCATATCATATAGGCTATGAACACTTGGACACTTCTTGGAATGGAATGGAAAGGGTTCTATGTGGGCCTAGTACCAAGAAAACGTCAACAACAGCAGAGGCTCCACTTTTGAATCTGTAAACATGACTATGCTATTGCTACACTTAGGCCTACTTGTATAACCTATGCATAAATGCACCACTGGGGGTCTACTCACTATACAAAACAAGGATGACGGAATATGTTAAATGTGATACTTTGGGATGGGCCTACACAAAGTTTCACAAATATACCTAGTCAGTCAGTGCACCTAGATTTGGTCTAATTCCAGCTTCCTCAACCACAACAAAGGTCCCAGCCAACAAAGCAGGGTCATGGCTGATGTTCACAAGTGCGTGTCAGCTACAGCAAGCTACTGCAATTGGTGTGGGAGTCATGGATCCCACTGCACTCTGTGCCTGTTTGTCACACCAGAATCATTTGCATAAAGGGCTGATTTGACTGGCTTTTGGATAAGTCCACCACCCTCCATGTCCATGTACATCTTTGAAACAGTTAGGCTAGCCTATGCCTCATCTTCCTGAACAAAGCACTCCATCTGTAGTTATCTCTCTGGCCTAGGTTCCATTTTAGAGCACTCCAGTGTTTTATTATCCGCTATTACCATAGTGAGGGAGGTCAAACCACTCGACCTAAAGAAAAGTACAAATAAAATAATTCATCCACCTGACATGTGTGGCATACCAAGAAGCTCATTAAAAGCATGATCATTACACAGGTGCACCTTGTGCTGGGGACAAAAAGCAACTAAAAATGTGCAGTTTTGACACACAACACAATGCTACAGACGTCTCAAGTGTTGAGGGAGCGCGCAATTGGCATGCTGAGTGCAGGAATGTCCACCAGAGCTGTTGCTAGAGAATCGAATGTTCATTTCTCTACCATAAGCCGTCTCCAAAATCGTTTTAGAGAATTTGGCGGTACGTCTAAACGGCCTCACAACCGCAGACCATGTGTAACCACGCCAGCCTAGGACCTCCACATCCGGCTTCTTCTCCTGTGGGATCGTCTGAGACCAGCCACCCGGACAGCTGATGAAACTGTTGGTTTGCACAACCAAAGAATTACTGCACAAATTGTCAGAAACCGTCTCAGGGAAGCTCATCTGCGTTCTCATCGTCCTCACCAGGCTCTTGACCTGACTGTAGTTCGGCTTCATAATCGACTTCAGAGGGCAAATGCTCACCTTTGTTGGCCACTGGCACGCTAGAGAAGTGTGCTCTTCATGGATGAATCCCGGTTTCAACTGTACCGGGCAGATGGAAGACTGTGTGTGTATGGTGTCGTGTAGGCGAGTGGTTTGCTGATGTCAACGTTGTGAACAGAGTGCCCCATGGTGGCGGTGGGGTTATGGCATGGGCAGGCATAAGCTACGGACAACGAACAGAATTGCATTTTATCGATGGCAATTTGAATGCACAGAGATAGCGTGACGAGATCCTAAGGCCCATTGCTGTGCCATTCATCTGGCACCATCACATGTTTAACCATGATAAATGCAGAAGCTGAAAATGTCCCAGTTCTTCCATGGCCTGCATACTCACCAGACATGTCACCCATTGAGCATGTTTGGGACAATATTCCACAGGCCACAATCAACAGCCTGATCAACTCTATGCGAAGGAGATGTGTCGCGCTGCATGAGGCAAATGGTGGTCACACCAGATACTGACTGGTTGTCTGATACAAAAAAGATAGGGGAGTGTAAGGTGTCTGTGACCAACAGATGCACATCTGTATTCCCAGTCATGTGAAATCCATAGATAAGGACCTAATGAATGTATTTCAATTGACAGATTTCCTTATATGAACTGTAAAATCAGGAAAATCGTTGAAATTGTTGCATGTTGCGTTTACATTTTTGTTCAGTATATCGTACCAGTCAAAAGTTTGGACACACCTACTCATTCCAGGGTTTTTCTTTATTTTTGATATTTTCTACATTGTAGAATAATAGTGAAGACATCAAAACTATGAAATAACACATACGGAATCATGTTGTAACCAGAAGAAAAGTGTTAAACAAATCAAAATATATGTTATATTTCAGATTCTTCAAAGTAGCCACCCTTTGCCTTGACAGCTTTGCACACTTGGCATTCTCTCAACCAGCTTCATGAGGTAGTCACCTGGAATGCATTTCAATTAACAGGTGTGCCTTCTTAAAAATTAATTTGGGGAATTTCTTTCCTTCTTAATGCGTTTGAGCCTATCAGTTGTGTTGTGACAAGGTAGGGTGGGTATACAGAAGATAGCCCTATTTGGTAAAAGACCAAGTCCATATTATGGCAAGAACAGCTCAAATAAGCAAAGAGAAATGACAGTAAATCATTACTTTAAAGACATGAAGGTCAGTCAATCCGGAAAAAGAAGAAGAGACTTGCTTGGGCCAAGAAACACGAGCAATGGACATTAGACCGGTGGAAATCTGTCCTTTGGTCTGATGAGTCCAAATTTGAGAGTTTTGGTTCCAACCGCCGTGTCTTTGTGAGACGCAGAGTAGGTGAACGGATGATCTCTGCATGTGTGGTTCCCTCCGTGAAGCATGGAGGTTTGATGGTGTGGGGGTGCTTTGCTGGTGACACTGTCTGTGATTTATTTAGAATTCAAGGCACACTTAACCAGCATGGCTACCACAGCATTCTGCAGCGATATGCCATCCCATCTGGATTCCGCTTACTGGGACTATCATTTGTTTTTCAACAGGACAATGACCCATACCTTGTCACAACACAACTGATTGGCTCAAACGCATTAAAGAAGGAATGAAATTCCACAAATTAACTTTTAACAAGGCACACCTGTTAATTGAAATGCATTCCAGGTGACTACCTCATGAAGTTGGTTGAGTGAATGCCAAGAGTGTGCAAAGCTGTCATCAAGGCAAAGGGTGGCAACTTTGAAGAATCTCAAATATAAAAATATGTTGATTTGTTTAACACTTTTTGGGTTACTACATGATTCCATATGTGTTATTTCATAGTTTTGATATCTTCACTATTATTCTACAATGTTGAAAATAGTAAAAATAAAGAAAAACCCTGGAATGAGTAGGTGTGTCCAAACTTTTGACTGGCAGTGTGTGTGTGTGTATATATATATATATATATAATTAGCATTTATTTATTATTATTAAGACTTAAGCGCCTTTCAAATTTCAGGTCTGCTCAGCTCAAACTTGAATGTTGTGAAAATTCTGCGCAACTTCCAGCGCACGTTTACTGTGAACAGTGAGGCTGTACCCGCTTTAAGTTACAGTTTTAACAGTGGTCAAGTAGGCTACTGTGGCTATTTGATCATAATGTAGGCCTACCAGAGTGGCCTACCATCAAAAACAATGGAGAAAAACACATCCCGTAAAATTTTAACATGGAAATAGCTGTTCTATCATTCAGCCTACAGTAGCAGCCAATGTGGTGTTCAATGCCTACATTCCATGAGACTTTTGAACAAAACAAAAAACATGCAGGGCTTGACATTAACCTGTTTATCCATTTGTCCTTCAGACAAGGAGGTGACTGAACATGTTATGTTTGATGCAAGAAACCACTTTACAAAATAAAATGCATTATTATTCCCATACCATTATTATAGAGAATCAGACAAATTATGATACACTCTGCCTATTGGCTACTTAGCATACTCAAGACCGTCTCAAAATACAACACTTCCCCTTTAAGACATAAAAAAGCTCTGTACCTGACTGGCTTTTCAAAGATAGCTAGAAACGCTCACATTTTGTGCACTTTTTGGAAGCAACCACTACCCCATTGTTGATCAGAAATGAGCTATAATTGGGCTATTTAACTTACTAACTAGCAAAGAATATGAACAAATGTGCACACGTGGCTACATGCAGCTCAAACTTTGATCTCAAAACAAGCGCATCTACTCGCGACTGCTCATACTGTAGCTTAAACACAGTCCAGTTCAAAGTGAATGGTACAGATACAGTGGGGGAAAAAAAGTATTTAGTCAGCCACCAATTGTGCATGTTCTCCCACTTAAAAAGATGAGAGAGGCCTGTAATTTTCATCTTAGGTACACGTCAACTATGACAGACAAAATGAGAAAAAAAAAATCCAGAAAATCACATTGTAGGATTTTTAATGAATTTATTTGCAAATTATGGTCGAAAATAAGTATTTGGTCAATAACAAAAGTTTCTCAATACTTAGTTATATACCATTTGTTGGTAATGACACAGGTCAAACTTTTTCTGTAAGTCTTCACAAGGTTTTCACACACTGTTGCTGGTATTTTGGCCCATTCCTCCATGCAGATCTCCTCTAGAGCAGTGATGTTTTGGGGCTGTCGCTGGGCAACACGGACTTTCAACTCCCTCCAAAGATTTTCTATGGGGTTGAGATCTGGAGACGGGCTAGGCCACTCCAGGACCTTGAAATGCTTCTTACGAAGCCACTCCTTCGTTGCCCGGGCGGTGTGTTTGGGATCATTGTCATGCTGAAAGACCCAGCCACGTTTCATCTTCAATGTCCTTGCTGATGGAAGGAGGTTTTCACTCAAAATCTCACGATACATGGCCCCATTCATTCTTTCCTTTACACGGATCAGTCGTCCTGGTCCCTTTGCAGAAAAACAGCCCCAAAGCATGATGTTTCCAACCCCATGCTTCACAGTAGGTATGGTGTTCTTTGGATGCAACTCAGCATTCTTTGTCCTCCAAACACGACGAGTTGAGTTTTTACCAAAAAGTTCTATTTTGGTTTCATCTGACCATATGAC